GTTAATTTTGTTGTGATAGTATGTCCTTTTAGCAGTGGAGGCATTAGCAGAGAATGAAGAGAGGAGTGATCGATATACATTAAGGTCAGTAGGATTTTGTGATTTGCGCCATACACTTTCTGCAGCTCTGAGCTTAGAACGAGGCTCACGGAGAACATCAGATAGCCAAGGGACAGAAGAGGTGGTACGAGCTGGCCTGGAAGACAAGGGGCAGGCAGTGTCTAAACAAGACGTAAGAGTGGAGCAGAAAGTATCAGTAGCACTGTTACCAAGCTTCAAAACATACCCAAATTCATAATAAAAGTAGCCAAAACAACTGGCACAGTTCTCCAAGTTATACAATAAATTTGTTTAAAGGTCCCATGGCATGAAAATTTCACTTTATGAGGTTTTTTAACGTTAATATGAGTTCCCCTAGCCTGCCTATGGTCCCCCAGTGGCTAGAAAGCATCCAAAAAGCAGCATGTCATGGGACCTTTAATGAACAAACAAAAGCTATCGTTTGATTTTATAAACTTTTATTTCATGCATGATTCATATGGATCTGTTAACTGAATGCAAAGTGTGAATTCTAGGAGAATGTTTGTGTTGTGATGATGAGCATGTATGCACTCTCACTATGAGTTGCTAAATGAACAGGCTGCTGCATGCAGTTTTTTTGTTTCAACGGAGAATCAGTTGCCTTATTGGTTAAAATCCCCAAACTGTTTAGTTTACTTAAATATTAAATTAAGAAATTACATTAAAATTCAAAGTAATCAATTTGGTAATCTAAAATACTTTTCGGATGTAACTGTAGTTTGATTACCCCTTATTTAAAATGGAATTATAACGAAATACAGTTACTCATATTTTGTATTTTAAATGTTTGTTATTCTGTGCCATTCAAAAAACATATTTTTCATATCTGTTATTTTCTGTGTGACTCGTGGGTCAATCTGCTTGCGCAGTATGTGTAATGGTCTCTAGTATACTTTGTAGTCTGGCCCTTGACATCCTTAAACGTCAAAGAAGAATTGTCTGAAGGGATTCTGAGTACTTGGGGATGAAAGAACCGTTCTGTTGAATTATGAATTATCTCTATTATGTCTATTTCTGACCTTGTGAGGGAAGAAATGAAGGTTGACATCAGCTTCTTTTAATGGAGATGTCTTGTTTGAACCAGCGATTTTCACTCATCTGTAGAAATAATTATGCTTTATCTGGGGTTACAATTCATGCCACTGAACTGAAGCATGTGACACTGGACAAGTGTTATGGTGGCGCTGCTTATTCTTCCTGTGTTGTGTTGTGTGTGTTGCACCTGAATTTAGTGCAAACTGGAGCAGCAGGCTTGTCTCACAGGAAAGGAGTTGAAAGTAAGATGTGCTGGTCTCTGCCCCTGTACTGCCACCGTGGCTCCTGCTACAGACGTGGACAGCAAACAAGGTATTTACCTGTCACACACTTCCAAAAACTGCAATTTGGTCTAGCAAAGCCTGTTAAAGGGATAGTTTCACCAAAAATCATTTACTCGACCTTGTGTCATTCCAGACCAATATGACTTTTTTTGTGGAACACAACATGTTATTTTTAAAAAGTTCAGTTGCTTTGGACCCCATTAAAGGAATAGTTCACCCAAAAATTAAAATTTGCTATTCATACAGCTATTGCTGTCTTCATAACAGATTTGGAGAAATTTAGCATTACATCACTTGCTCACCAGTGGATCCTCTGCATTGAATGGGTGCTGAAACATGAAAACAGCTGATAAAAACATCACAATAATCCACACAAGTAATCCACGCGTCTCCAATCCATCAGTTAATGTCTTGTGAAGTGAAAAGCTGCGTGTTTGTAAGAAACATATCCATTATTAAGGCGTCCATAGTCCATAATAACACTTCCTTCAGTGAAAAAGTCCATCCCCTGTTGGCCTCTCACATCAAAATCTACCAACATATTTGTTTAGAGCTGTTTGGGTTGTTTTTGCTTGTAAATGGTGCTTGATCTGTGCATATTTCTCTCTTGATTTAGACAAGATGACTTTCATTGGAGAAAGCAGTGTTATGGATAGAGAGCTCATATTTTATCTGGAAAAAATGGTTTGAAGTTAAAAACGTCTTTATGATGAATTTGTTTCTTACAAACACGCAGATTTTCGGTTCACAAGGCAATAATTGATGGACTGGAGTCTTGTGGATTATTGCAATGTTTTTATCAGCAGTTTGAACTCTCATTCTGATGGCACCCATTCACTGCAGAGGATCATTTGGTGAGCATATATCTCCAAATCTGTTCCTGATGAAGAAACAAAGTCATCTATATTTTGGATGGCATGAGGATGAGTAAATTTGGGGTAAACTATTAACTTAGACAAAAACAAATAGAACAGTTGAAATATTCTTCAATATATAATTTGTGTTCCACAAAAGAAATTAAGCCATAAAGGCCTGAGGTCTGAGTGATGACAGAATGTTCATTTTTAGATGAACTATCTCTTTAAGATACTCTTATAAAGAAGCACCTTCTGTATTGAATGAAGCACAATAGAAGGTCCTGCTTTTAAGTTTATAGGATCATATTTTGATGATGATAATAATGAATGGTCTTATTCTGAGATTGCTTCAGATGCCATTTGTCTCTTTCACATCCCTTGAGCAGTCTGCAGCTCTCGCTCTACCAAAGGCTTTATTGATTTATCAGCAGACTATGCAGCTCTTTTTCTTTCTCTGCTGCTTGCTTTGTGGATTTCTGCTGACTTAGATTATGTCTGATTTGTGTCTGCAGTCTCCGCAGGCTTTTCTTGTCAAATTCAGAAGGGCAAAAGCAGGACGATTGGTTCTTCACTCTTTAATACCAACATCTGCCAACACTCCCATATCTCCTTTCACTGTCTCTGTCTCTCTTCTTTTCTGTCCATAGAGAGTTGCACAGGGCAGGACCTGGCAGATCTGGGAGATCGCCTGCGGGACTGGTTCCAACTGCTCCAAGGCAACGGCAAGCAGAACAGCACGGGGAATCCTGTAGCCAGTTCTGCATCAAGTGAGGCTCTAACATCTATTTAGCCAGTGCTTTTATATTCAGAAATTACAGCAGCTTACAATGACTCTAACCTCATTTATTTTGGTTGTATCATTTCAAGAAATGCCACAAATGCTGTTTTCTTTTTAGTATTTAAAAAATGGACCTATGATAATTGGCACTAACAAAACTGCTGTGTAAAACTATTGATAAGGACCAGCAGATTCACAGCTATTATGTTTGAATTGTATCCTATCCTGATGGCCAAAGAGCACCAGCAGCATTTTATCCACTCAAAAAGCAGTTTTGCTGAATTGTGAAATGCAACTGAATGCTTAAGCACTCCATTTACATCTACTTCAATATAAAATGTACATTTAATGGCATTTAATGCCTCATCAGTTCTGTAACTAGCTATGCCTCTTTTGTTTGTTACATTTATATTGTTTGCTTCTAATATATATATATATAAAAAAAAAGGTCTAAAAAAACAGCTTCTGTCCATGGTTGCCATCAGAGAAATTGACTGTCTTATCAGCAACATTTGAACAGCAATTTTGCTTTTAAAAGGACATTGATAAAATTTTTACAGCTAATATGATGCAATCAGTGGTTCTGGGAGAGATGGCTCTTATAAACCAGTTTAAAAAGTTAAAAAATGCAGAAGTATTACAGTATATAAGCTAGCATTTCTCTTGTGTTAACATGTACCGTGTGATTGTTTGTGCACAGTTGTGGACCGAACTCTTGTTGCGACCTGTAAGGACTCTATTGGCTGGATGTTCTCTAAGCTGGACACGAACAGTGACCTGTATCTGGATCAAGCTGAGCTGTCTGCCATTAATCTGGACAAGTATGAAGTGTGCATACGGCCCTTCTTCAACTCCTGTGACTCCTACCACGATGGCAAAGTCTCCACAGCCGAGTGGTGCCTCTGCTTTTGGAGAGAAAGTGAGTTTTTATTATCTCTACACAATTGAACCAGGCCTTTATAATAACATAAAGAAATATTCTATATACTACCAAATAGTGTTGTCAAAAGACCCGGTATTTCGGTACCAAGTCGGTACAAAAAAAATGAAAACGTTACGGTACCAGGTTTTTTTTAAGTACTGGTGGTACCGAGTACCCGGTCAACCCGGTTCTTGATGCGCTATCTTTCATTTTTGTTTAACGTTATTAATAAAAATGTTGTTCAATTAGCATGTTTTTGTGTTTTGCTTTGGTACCGAAATTGGTACCGAGAACCGTGGATTTTCACTGGTATCGGTACCGAATACTGAAATTTTGGTACCGTGACAACACTACTACCAAATATTCAGCACTCTACCACTGAAATATTTAGGATTTGCAATATTTTTAAATTTTTTTGAAAGAAGTCTCTTATGTAAAAATACATAAGAACAGTAATGTTGTGAAATATTATTATATGGTAAAATAACGGTTTTCTATTTGAATATATTTTAAAATGTATTTCTATGATGGCAAAGCAGAATTTTCAGCAGCCATTACTCCAGTCTTCAGTATCACATGATCCTTCAGAAATCATTCTTATATGATGATTTGGTGCTCAAGAAACATTTCTTATTATTATTATCAATGTTGTGCTGACAAAAGAGCTGCATTTATTTGAAATATATTTTAATAGAGACAATAGATACATTATTTATGTTGCATTATCAATACTCTACTGTGACTTTTGATCAGTTTAATGTGTCCTTGAACAGTAGTGTATGTCCTTTTAAAAATTTGCATCATGATGATAATTAACCAATTTTAATTACAGTTTTTTTTTTCAATTGCTAACAAGCGTTTGCCAATACTTAAAGTACTAACTCTTAACACAGCAACACACCTACATCACACAATTAGCCAAATAGTACATTTTCTGGCCAAAACCGCATTTTGTTAAATAAATACAAACTCTACATTTCAAAATGCTGAATACGGTTTTCTACATATACTAACTCTATCAAAACACAGCAAACCCGATTCAAAATCGAGTCATTTGGTCAAAACATTAGCACTAGTTTCTATCCAACAGAAACATATAGTCAATCATAGCACAGTGACTGTCAAAATACTAACAGTTGATGGCTTTACAAAAACCTGCATATAATGACAATATAAAAATCCATAGTTTTTTTGTAATTTAGCCTTCAGTTTACCTTCAACTGAAACCCATTTTACATTTGTAAGTGTTGAATGTGTTCATTCTTGGCAACATACTATCTAAAACTGAATGAGTCATTACTTTATAGAATGTACAATAGAAAAAAAATAGGGTCCCCTATGCAGAAATTCAATTGGAACCTTGGTTTAAACTGCTTTCCAGTGGGTGGGGGTTGGATGTGGATGGTGCCTCCATGGTAGCTGATGCCAGTGATCAACAAAAATTCCAGCATACATGGCCTTTGCTTACTATGCAAGCTTGTTTCCGTCACAGAATAAAAATTAAAAACAGTAACTGTGACCTTTATATCTCATAATTCAGACTTGCAATTCAGAATTTATCAGAATTGTGAGATACTGTAAATTCACAATTGCAAGAAAAAAGTCAGAATTCTGAGATAGTCACAATTACCCTTACCCTTTATATTCCATGGCAGAAATAAAAACGAATTCAAAGAGGTCTTTTTTACTCTATGTTGTTGATGTAATGGAAAGAGCTTCAACACCAGACTATTCCTCCAACTGAGCCTGGAATCAGCTATTTCTAAATATTTCAGTGATTTGTTACTTATAAATGCTTATCAGTTGTTACAATATTTTATACAGAGAGATTTTTTCAATACCTTTGAGCTGCTGTTGTTGCAGAGGTAGAAGCTTTATACTATATTTAAGGTTCGGAACATTAGGTCTTCATTTCTGACATGCTGTGTTTAAGCATTTGTAAATAAGACTAAAAGCATCCATGATTTTGGTTTTGGGTAAGCTTGTATGAAAAGAAGATATAAGCATTTTAGAAACATGGTAATTGACTGCATATTGTGTGAAAACAACATGAATTGTGTTAATGGTATGGTCACATCGGATGGATGTTGTGCTAATTGTGTTTAGAGTTTTGAAAATGTGACTAGAGATGAAAAAAACTGTAAACTGTCAATTGAAAAAAACTGTAAAACATACTGTTGATAAAAATATATGGGAAAAAAACAAAATATTATAAAAGCAATACATACAGTATATTTACAGAAAATCTAGAAATATGTTAGTTTCAAATCCTAATCAATAGTGTCAACCCTGACTAAAATTAGATGGCATTTTAGTAAAATTATGACATGGCAAAAATGTTGACTAAATTGACAATATTTTCATCCAAAGGTAAAAACTCAAAAAAGTAACACTGGAAAGAAGCAAATATTTTGACATTGAAAACATTACACATTTCAGATTTAAAATCGGCTCTAACCGGGATCGTTGCCTCAGCATTGTACATTTGTGCCCTGCACCCTGCTGGTCAGTGCCACGATCCACAGTTTACTCTGCTTGGTTATATCAGAGTGACAGAAGGGAGACACGTGGCCGAACATCAGTGCCAGCACTAGTCCGTGTTTGAGCGTGTTGAACAATGCTTCAGTGAGTTGGGGCTTTCAAATCTGGAATTATGTTTAAATTGGAGTTGAGGGGCATATTTGGTTTCCATTACAAAACCCAGAAGATGAAATTGCATGCAAAGACTCGACTGGTAGCAGAGCGCATTTATTTTACATCAGCACGCACTGGACACTTTAAAGATAAAGAAAACACCAGTTGGTGGAGGCAGGGCTTTAAAAAAATCCATCTGTGTGCAGAGAGTTCTGCAGACTCGTGTCACTAACTCATTCAGTTCGCACTTGATTAAGTTTAATTGGTTTTCTAAATATAATCAAACATTAAATGGGAGAGGGGGGACCGTATGTTTGGATTATTGTAATCCAAATCTTTAATTTCCTCTACAAACACCCCCTTTGGATGGAAAATGAGAGATGGGAGAGCTGGAGATGATGTAAATTGACCTTTAGCTGTTTGTGGCATGTGGTGAGAGTGATTTAGAGTATTCATTTTGATGAGATGCATAAGTCTGGAGGAATTGCTATTCATTGTGTGTTGCTAGGGTGACTGACAGTCTGTATGTGTGTGTGTGTGTGTGTGTGTGTGTCAGCGGGGGAGAGTGTAGGTCTGTTTGCATGTGCATGTGTTTATCGGCAACATGCTGTACATATTAATGAGACTCATAAGTGTGTTCTTTTGTTTGAGGAATTCCTTTGAGTGTGTGTGTGTGTGTGTGTTTACTTAAACAATGGAGCATGGCAAGTGTCTTGACTCAAACAGACATATGCTCCATTGTGCATTGCACTGGAGGGGCACAGAGCTGTATCTTAGTAGTATCTTAACACACACACATACACACACACTATACCAGCCTGGTTCTTGTTTGATTTGATTCTGCTCACAATATGTAGCTGGGCACTCTCATCTCTCCTGGGTAGGGCACAGTTGCTTTTGGCCTGTCACACTTTGTCTTCCCCTTGTATTTCCCCTGGTGGATAGGAAATGGCCATTGCAGAGGGAAAAACAACATCAGTGTTGGTTGTTGACAGCATGCTCAGCCTCAAACTCTCTGGGACTAAAACCAGACAGGCAGTCAGACAGAAACCCGCTGCATTTTTTAGACTTGACCTGTCCGGCCCTCACATACAGCTGTGAAACATGATAGTGTTGAAGCATTGGCGAATATTCCAGTATGTGCACTGCACTGATTTATTTATTAAAGGAAACATTCTGTCATCATTTACTAACCTTCATGTCATTCCCAAACCTGTTTGACTTTCTTCCCTATGTGGAATACAAAAGAAGATGTTTAGGATAATGTCCAAGCTGCTCTTTTCCATACAATGGAAGCAAATGGGGACTAGAGATGTCAAGCTTAAAAAAGGACCATTAAAGTGGTCTGTATGATTTATGACTGTATGACTCCACTGTTTTGAGTGTGTTGAGCTCCAGGTTGTTATAACTGCACCAGGCAGCCAGCAGTTTAACCTCCTGTCTGTAAGCAGACTCGTCTCCGTCCTTGATTAGGCCGATGACCGTAGTGTCGTCCGCAAACTTTGAGCTTGGCAGAGGGGTCTTTAGCGGTGCAGTCGTTGGTGTACAGGGAGAAGAGCAGTGGGGAGAGAACACAACCCTGGGGTGCACCAGTGCTGATAGTGAGGGACCTGGATGTGAGTTTGCCCAGCCTCACTAGCAGCTGCCTGTCTGTCAGGAAGCTGGTGATCCACTAACAGATTGGGGTGGGCACGGAGAGCTGGGACAGTTTGGCTGAGAGAAGGTCATGCATGATGGTATTGAAGGCTGAACCGAAGTCCACAAATAAGATCCTTGCATAATTCCCAGGTCTGTCGAGGTGTTGCATGATGTAATGCAGTCCCATGTTGACTGCATCACCCACAGACCTGTTTGCTCTGTACACAAACTGAAGAGGATCCAGCAAGGGTCCAGTGATGTCCTTCAGGTAGGCCAACACCAGTCTCTCAAATGACTTCATGACCACAGACGTGAGAGCGACAGGTCTATTATCATTAAGTCCAGTGATTTTGTTTTTTTTGGGGACCAGGATGATGGTGGAGCATTTGAAGCAGCAGGGAACTTCACACAGCTCCAGTGATCTGTTGAAGATCTGTGTAAAGATGGGGGCCAGTTGGTCAGCGCAGACCTTTAGACAGGCAGGTGAAACACCATCTGGGCCTGAAGCTTTCTTAGTCTTCGGCTTTCTGAAGACCCGGTTCACATCCTCTACACAGACATTAAGCGCAGGTTGAATGGTGGAAGAGGCAGAAAGGAGGGGGTGGGTGAATGTGTGAAGTGCAGATCAGAGCGGGTGTGGGGTGGTAGACTGGGCTTTTCAAACAGGCAGTAGAACACATTCAGATCGTCAGCCAGTTGTTGATTCTCCACAGACTGTGGGGGTGTCTTGTACTTAGTGATGTTCCTCAGACCAGTCCATACTGGTCGTTGGCTGGAAATTGGTTTTTCAGCTTTTCAGAGTAGGTTTTTTTTGCCACTCTGATCTCTTTTGTCAGTCTGATAATTCAAGTATAACCATAACAAAATACTGTTATTAAACCATTTCAATTATGAATTATGTGTTAACTAGTCTTGATTCATCATTAACTTTGAAGTGCTACCTATTGCAATCCAATATAGTCACTCAATAGCAACGCTCTCCCACATATTTAGCTAT